AGCTAAAACTACCTATGTCACCCATTAACCAGTTGACATCCGCGGTGTTAAACCCCCTTCCCATCCAGGCCATTTTTCAGTATTCAGCGCTGCGGTACTTTAACTGACATTTATTCCGTCATGAGCTATGTATAAAAACCTTGTTTAAATATAATCCTCAATAACCATAAAGGATATAAATCCACTGTGTGTGTGTGTGTGTGTGTGTGTGCGCGCACACCGAATGCCTTCGCAAACCCTGGTATTAGCTTGCAAAAAATAGCAGGGACATTATTGGGCTGCACATAGCAGCTCCACCCACTACAGGCTGCTTGCAAAAAACTACAGAAGGGGGCGGATACAAGACCAGTCACTGTGCACAATGAGGGAGAGCAGCAGTGACCGGTCTTGATCACAGGAAACTCCTTCACAGAGGCAAAGCTTCATAGATATGGAAGAAAATAGACAAAGCTCACCTGGGTTCAAATAACAGACATGGCTCTTGTATTTAGACAATATTCCAGAGCTCTGCTTTAAAAAAAGAGCAGGATCTGAATGCAAGAAATGCAAAAAAAAATAAACTGAAGCAGATGCAGCCAATCAGTAACATCGCCTACGCCCATCCCACCCAACAGCTTAGCACCAGATGTAAGAGTTGGACAGGAGACACGGAGCTGCTGACAGGTACCTGTAACTGGGTGTTACAGGCAGTTTAGATTACACAGGAAGGGGTGGGGGGTTCAAAATAGATTAATAGCAAAAGCACATTAAGATGATTCCGATTCAACCTGTCAGCACGCCGCCTCTGATTGACAAACCCCCAACGGAGAAGAGCCACTAACTAGGGAGAGCCAAAAATATTACTACATCCAGAACTGGTCTGCTTCTATTTGTAGCAAGGCAGCCAAGCCTTGGAAAGCCATTCATAAAAAGCAGGAGGCGAGGTCATTCATAAAAAGCAGGAGGCGAGGCCATTCATAAAAAGCAGGAGGCGAAGCCATTCATAAAAAAGCAGGAGGCAAGGCCATTCATAAAAAAGCAGGAGGCGAGGCCATTCATAAAAAAGCAGGAGGCGAGGCCATTCATAAAAAAGCAGGAGGCAAGGCCATTCATAAAAGCAGGAGGCGAGGCCATTCATAAAAGCAGGAGGCGAGGCCATTCATAAAAGCAGGAGGCGAGGCCATTCATAAAAAGCAGGAGGCGAGGCCATTCATAAAAAGCAGGAGGCGAGGCCATTCATAAAAGCAGGAGGCAATGCTCAAACAAGTGTTCTGCAAGATCCAACATGGGGGTGCCAACTGGGTTTTCCCACCACTCAAAGTGGAAAACCTTTTAAATGGCTCTACAAAAAAAAAAACAAAACAAAAAAAAACACCAGTGTGAAAGGCTCAGATGTAAGCTGCAACTCACTGACTCAGTCACATCAAAATGCTCATTCCACAAGGAGTAACTAAATCAGCTTCAGCATCAAATCCAAACCTCACCTCTCATCATCCGTGTTTGCCCCTCTATGCAGTAAAAAGGAAGCTCTGTCTACCATCTTTTTAAGCACACGGAGGCTCTCACACTATTCATCAAACACCTTCCCAGCTTGTACACTGCATACAACTGCTTCAGGCCTCTTAGCCCTCATCAGAGCCACACATGGAGCCTGTTGCTTCTATGACATGGGGTTTAGGAAACAATGAGACAATGCAACCAACATTACAGCATAATACTGCAGTACATGTGAGACACAGTACATCCTGTGTACTGACCGGTATCCATGGCACATGAAGCCACTTCAAATGCTGCACAGACCACATTGTATTACCACCTCAGGCACCACAGTGTTAACAGAATAGGTGACAATTATGTGTCATATTATTACTACACCGTGCCAGGTTCTGAATCATCAACAAGCAGCAAATTGCTCGTACAAGGGTAAATATAACACTTGGCATGAAAGATGGAAAAGAAGTTGGAGTGCATTTTATTTGTATTACATAACCTCATATTAGTAAATTAGGTCCGGTCCCCAGAACGTGCACGTTTTAGAAGTGTCCACCTGTAGCTGCCACTAAAGAAGATCCTTGTGTTACGCTGGCCATACACTGGTAGCCCGCAGGCTGAATGAGAAAACACATTCCTCCATTCATGTATAGATGTACGACTCTCACACTGCGGTTATTGTATTCTGACAGAGGACACCCGCTGCGGTCACAATGCATGAACAATGACTGCAGCTGATTGGCTCGGCTCCTTCCACAGAGTCCATTACTCAATTGTCTTTTGAGCCTATGAGCGACACCGCTGTCCTGAGGGGCACCGAGCCTATGAGGGACACCACTGTCCTGAGGGGCACCGAGCCTATGAGCGACACCACTGTCCTGAGGGGCACCGAGCCTATGAGCGACACCACTGTCCTGAGTGACACCAAGGGCCTGAGCCACATTCGGATCCCACAAGTCCGAGTTGGGCAGCTTCCATCTGAGAATTCTCATAGAGGTCTTTTACTCCTTACGGCAGATTGCTTTAATTAAGCATCTAAATCATGTGCTGCATTACACCCCCTTCATAGAGATCACATTAAGCCTCATCTCAGCGAACCCCACGTGGTACACACCGGACACATGTTCCAGAAACATATTCACCAAGCTCACTATTCCACTGTATCCAAGTACAGCTCCATAGGATTCTATATACAGTTTGCGCAGCATTTACAATATAATGGAAGACATCACAATACAATTCAAGGCCACATCATCTCTATGTTTCTGTACACACTCCTTGTATATACACACCTCTTTGTTTGAGTGCACACTCCTTGTCTATACATCTCCATGTTCCTGTCCACACTCCCTGTATATACACACGTCCATGTTCCTGTCCACACTCCCTGTATATACACATCTCCATGTTCCTGTACACACTCCCTGTATATACACCTCCATGTTCTTGTGCACACTCCCTGTATATACACCTCCATGTTCCTGTGCACACTCCCTGTATATACACCTCCATGTTCCTGTATACACTCTCTGCATATACATCTCTATGTTCTTGTACACACTCCCTGTATACACACACGTCCATGTTCCTGTCCACACTCCCTGTATATACACATCTCTATGTTCCTGTACACACTGCCTGTATATACACCTCCATGTTCTTGTACACACTCCTTGTATATACACCTCCATGTTCCTGTATAAACTCTCTGCATATACATCTCTATGTTCTTGTACACACTCTCTGCATATACATCTCTATGTTCTTGTACACACTCCCTGTCTATATACCTCTATGTTCCTGTACACACACCTCCATGTTCCTGTACACACTCCCTGTATATACATCTCCATGTTCCTGTACACACATCTCTATGTTCTTGTCCACACTCCCTGTCTATACACCTCTATATTCCTGTACACACTCCTTACACATAAAATGTTCTGTCTGTATTACTCGACCTTCTTTTCATCATTCATCAGGGGAATTAGCAATCTCTCTAATTGCACATACAGAGAGGTTCTAAGCTGGGTAACCAAAGGAAAATCTGCCCCCAGCTATAGGGAAGCCTTGATCACAGTGACACTTGTAGACGACTGTGATCAGCAACCCTCCAGTGCTACCATGTAGTATACTGTGACACTGTACTGACAATGGGCTACGTATGCACCGTGCAAACATATACACTGCATCAAAATTCTGTTTCTATGTCTGACCACAAACAGCAACTGAAAAAGAAATATTTGTTTTTTTCTTTCATAATAAAAAATTATATATAAGTTTATTTTTACTTATAATCTAGACAGCGAGCACTCCAGGGCAAGACCCCGCAACCCCACATTCATGTGTCTGAATTCTCCGCTTTTCTATAAACCGGGTTAAATAGATTCCACCGAGATTTATGTCAGGCTCCAGGAAATAAATTCCACAACTGCCCTGCAGTCCTGGGTGACGTTTATTAAAAACAAGAGAAACTACAAAAACAAAGAACTGCAAAATAAAACAAAACACAAGCCCCGCTTTCTGCAAGCAGCCCAGGAATGCTCCCACATACCCCAATACAAAGTCACTCAGTGTTATTAAACAATAAATAATAAAAAAAGAAGCCAACTGGCATTAGAAAGGACAGAGCAGAGATGGCTTCACACACATACACACACAAAAAGTGAACTTGTCTGAAAACAAGCCGCCTGGGGCTGGTGGCTGTGTCAACAAAAGGGGGGGATTTGTAGTGGATGGGGCTTAGCAGGAAGTGGGGGGAGGGGGGAGCACAATATCATAAACACAGCTGAAGCTCCGGGGGGGGCTCATTTTTATAAGCCATCAATAAAGTTTACCAAAAACTCTGAAAACAAAATCTGCCCTTGGAATGCAGGTTTAGAATATCCATCATCGCCCTCATCAAACAAATCTAATTATTGTAAACATATACACCCCTCCCCCCCAATCCTGAGCTCTGCATTCCCTGACATTGGGGGGCCACTGGGCTCTTCAAAAACATGTTCAGTAACTTCCACAAGCCCTAAAAAATAAGAAGTTTTCCCTGGATTGGTCTGCAGATGAGACCTTTTCCACAATGGCCATGCATCCCTTATAAAACCTGCTATCAAAGCGCAAATCTACACTTTTAATCAGAATCCAAAAACAACGGCGACCATCCCTTGGAAAAAAAGATCCATCGATAATGGCGACCTGGAATGGCTGCTGAGCCAAGAAAAAAAAAAAAAAGTCACCCAAAAAAATCTCAGAAGATAAGATTAGAGCTAATTAGCCTTTAACTATTCCCTATTGGAAAGTTTGTCTGCAGATTAGAATGCGGCTAATTGCTGCCATTGTTTACTACTACAGGTCTTGTACGGCCACTGACATCGCGGGAGCCCGGATCAGGTCTGCACACAATCCGGAGAACTTCTATACTGGAAGTTTGCTGTGCATCACATGTCACTAGGTGAGATGGAGCCGGATGGTTACTATGGGCGACGGCGGCACCTTTGCTCCATCAGCGCACACACATGCACATAGGCACTCACCGTTTCCCCGGACACAAGGGCCAGCCAGCCAAAGGACACCAGGATCCATATATTCCTCATTATGAGCCCCAAGTCAGTGAGGCGGCACGCTGCAAACTTGTTCAGCCGGCTCCCAGCTCTCTCTCTCACTTGTTGCTATAGGAATCCCCAGACGTGCACACACACCGCCGCGTCCCCGGGCAGCCCCCGGCACAAAACTTTGCTGGATATCGCACTGATACCGGGCGATAAGGGTCCCCCCGTCTCGTGTGCTCGCCGCTGTGCCTGTGTTGCTTTCCCCTTCAGGCTGCCTGGGAGAAGAAGAAGAAGGTGGCTGTTCCTCCCTCAGCCTGCTGAACAGTGAGCACTGGTGGACTAGTGCGACTCCTACTGTAGTAAACCCGGGAGAGAAGTGTGCATTCCCAGCCTAGCTGCTCAGTGCAGGAAGTGTCTCCTCTCCAGCACCCTCCCCCCTGCTTATATTTACTACTCTGCTGTGCCCATGTCAGACCCCCATTCCAAAATCTCTCGATGAGGACACATAGCATGCGCAGACTGACAGCAAGCTGGTGCTCCTGGAGCATGTTAAAGGGATAGTCCACTTTGTGTCAGAAAATAAGAAATGTGCCCTTACTGCAATAAAGGAAAATGTGCATTTAGTAGTTTTCGTTTGCATTGCAGCCTGCAAAACATTGCAACCAGGTTCCTGCAGAGCGTTTCTACTAGGCAGCACTGTCCATAAGGTATGCACCGCCTGGCACCGAATGCCTCTTTCCAGCAGCGGCGTCACCAGGCCAGGTTTCACCCGTGCGCACGTCATCACGTATACACATGATGTCATTATGCCATGACGTCACGCGCACTTCACTGCCAGCAGCCATGTCGGTGATGGACGCTGGCAAAGAGAGGAGGGGACGTTCATGCTGTGGGATGTAGGTATGTTGTCGGGTCCACTCCTCTCTCGCGCAGCTGTCGGGGTCTCAGTACATGACTTTGGGAGGGGGGTGACACAAAAATGACTGTCAGTCATTTTGGTGTCACCTCCTCTGAAGGGGTCACAGGGTGGCGGTTGAACCCCCAAAGGGGGTGTGGATGCCAGACCGCGGTGTCAGCACCTCTGTCTGTCGTCCTACACGGCTCACTGACATCACCAGTTGCCAGAAGCTCAGCGGAACACAAGCCAGAGCGTCCCGCTTAGCTCCTGGGAACTGGTAACGCCAGTGAGCTGGGCGGGAAGCCGCACAGAGTGTCACAGGTTGCTGAGAGCTCTTAGTGACCTGGGACGTTGTGGCCGCCCCAAATGAGATGCCGCCTGAGGCAACCTGCCTTATTATAGTAACAGCACTGTTCCTAGGGACCGAGTTTGCCCAAGCCTGTGTAAAACTGTCAGTAACACATCCGCCCCACAGCTGCAGTACATATAACAAAAGGGAATGTACTGACACTCCCCTTTCCCTCCTTCCAATAAGTTGCAGCTGAGACATGCCCTGCCTCACTCCGCAGGGACTTCCCTTTGTGACGTGTAGCTGCAGGCCAGGGACTTTTTTTTTTTTTTTAAGCCCGTGGACGGGCATCTAAACAAACTTCCCCCTGTGAACAAAAAAAGTGAACCGTGAAATCACAGCACACAAAAACGTGCACAAGGGTGCTTGGTCCTTCAATAAAGAAGGGACCTAGATTCCCGACCCCCCGGGGCGCAAGGCTCCTGACAGGGGTTGAGACTGTTGGTCCACCAACCCGAAGGCCGGTGGACCCCGATCCTTTGGGGACCTACCAAAACAGGTCCCTCACAGTACTAGGCAGGGGGCTCTCCCGAAGAGAGACCCCCTCCTGGGTTGGGAGACAGAGAACCCTATATAAGGGCACAGAATCTCCTCCCTACATCAGGAATAGGCCCCGAAGGAACCTGCACCCGCTGCATCTGTGGGTCAATGCCAAAAACAGGCCAATCGTGTTGTGCATAAAGTGCTATAAATAAATCTAAAGCGCCAGTGCACCACGCTGACAGGCCTTAGGGGCCGGAGTGCAAAAATATTGCCCCGTACTAGCCATAAGGCCTGTCCAAGAGGCGATGTGCAGAAAATGCAAGGTGGTGTGTGAGCAAGTGATCAGTAAGTCAATGTGGGGTCCCATACCCAAGTGACTTTCTGAGCACCCCTTCGGACGCCACCCCCAGGGGGCACAACACCACGGGCTTCTGCCACCCCCAACCCTCCAGCCAGACCAAGTGTTTCTCCGCTCACATCAGGAGGTAGTGCCGTTGGGGGTCCTCCCATTGTCTGGGGTCTACCCATAACCTCGGGGCCTGACGCAACCAGCAGTGGACCGAACCGTCCTTCGACACCCACCATTACGCCATAGGGTACTAGAATGCTCCCCCATCGGGTGGCAACATCCTTTCCCCTCCAACAACTGATAAGAACAGATACTACACTTGATCTTAGCCAAAAGGCAGAAAAGTGATACACGACGCACGGCTGTACGCGGCGGGAAACCGTGTGATTGTCCGGTGCAACTGGGGCGCCATTAGAATATAATGGCACCCACAGCACAATCGTCTGTGATGGGTGACTCCGTGACCGCGCGGCAATCCGTGCGGTATCGCGCAGGATTGCCGCGCGGGCACTGATCACATTGGTGTGCATCGGCCCTTAGGCTAGGTTCACACCTAGGCGATTGAGCTGGTGAGCTGTTTTCATGCAGCTTCGTGCTTTTGTGCGATTTTGGTTTGAAAAAAGTTGTGCGTTTGGGTCTGTGGGACCCAAATCGCGCTACAACTGCCCGAAAATAGCTCCAACACCTTGTGCGGCAGACGATTTTTACCGCACAACAAATCGCAAAGGTGTGAACAGTTTCCATAGACTTGAATGCAAATCTCTGTTTTGTGCGATATTGCCTAGGTGTGAACCTAGCCTTAAAACTACAGCAATAAGCTACTGAGTTAAAAAGTATTGATTTTTTAGGGTAAAACAAAAAGGATACATGGTCACTTTAAGGCCTCATTCACACTGACAGGAGGCGGGGCCGCTCCCAGGAAGCACAGGTGCTGCGTGTGATCGCATGACGCAGCCTGTTCTTCTCTATGGGAGTATGCGGCTGTAGGCTCACCCGAATTGCAAGTCCGTGCGGACGTGCAGTTCGCGTGAGCGTACGTCGGCGTACAGCCATGTACTCCCATAGAGAAGAACAGGCTGCTGCATGCCATCAGACACAGCACCTGTCCTTCCCGGGAGTGGCCCTATATGGCCGTGCACGCCGCACGGATCTATACGGGCTGGCTCTTGTCAGTGTGAATGAGGCCTAACACTGACTGACAGTGGCGGAATTACCGCCGGTGCGGGTGGTGCCGCCCCACCGGGGCCTGAGCCTACGGGGGGCCCAGTATCTATTCAAACACAGCCCTGCGGCAGAGATGGGGGGGCCCGTTGGTGTCCGGCCACCAGTTACCATCGGATCGGTATGCGTCGGGCCCCCCGCCATCTCTGCGCCGTGAGTGATCACATTGGCTGACGGGCCCCCTGTGTGTGACGTGTCCATCTCAGCGTGCCCGTGAACTCAGGCGGCTGTCTGCTGGGTCGTCACGGCCGAGGCCCAGGGCTGCCCCCTGCAGTGCCTGTAGGCTTTTTTTTAATTCAAAAAAAATAATCTTGCACCGGGGGGGGGCCCTTTGTTCCCTAGGTCCGCCACTGCTGACTGATTATACTTACATTAACCTGATCACATTTATATATAGCTACAAAAACTGTAACAAGACCATAGTCTTTTTCAACTGTGTTTTTAATTTTGGTTAACTATATGTCTTGAAACTTAGGCCAGATGGCTGATAGAATCGGCTTGTTTTATTAAAGAAGTGTCACAGTTTATTCACATCTCTTCTTCTGCATGAATTGCCATTACTATTAAGAGTTTTCTTTTATCTATTTTTATATGTAAAAGCAGTTACTCCGGCTCTACTGAAGAGGAGAAGATGTTGGCTTGACTTAAAAAGAACCCAGAGATCAGAGATGTCCTGAAATAGTCTGTGGGAAGGATGACAATGTACAGAAAACATGTATATGTAACCCCTAGTAATGCCATTGAAACTCATCCACTGGAAAGAATAACAAATACAGAGGAGAATTCATCTGTGCCTGCCATGCCTTCTGTCTTTTAGAACATGTTCTATGGTTTAGCAGCTGATCAACAAAAACTAACACCTGTGCCACAGAAAGTGCAATAAGGTAACATGATTACACGCTTGAGTAAACGCCAAATTCTGCTATCTAAAGGTTAAGTGTACACATAGACGCAACAGAGCTGTCTACACATGAACTGACATAGAAGATGTGTTGAAAAGCTTTAGGGTGAGCTCATCTGAATGGGATTTATTAAATTGCCTGTAAGGAGTTTCAAAATTCTTTACTGGAAATGTACTTGCCCTTTCCATCATCTAAAGCAGTCATCCTAAACTGGTGTCTTGTGAGCCACATCTGGCTCTCAGTGCTCTCTGATATTGCTCGTGGCACCTTTTTAGCAATTTTGACAAACGTCTCAACAAACAGGTGCAACATTTCTTCATCGCCATATCTCTATAGATCAAAAATTCAAAGTCTTTGATGGCATGAACCCTCATATTAAGCAACTAGTGGAACTTTTTGTATTGGCAATATCAGCCAAAAACTTTTGGGAGCGGAACAATATCTAATCCAGTCCACCCAAAGGTGATATTTATTTTATAGTTGGAGCCTCGTGGGCTCAGTCAACCAATGGATTCTAATATGCTATATGGCTACAAGTGTGTGGGTATCCATCCAAGTGATTGTGTTTAGGTGTTTCCAGTGTTTCAAGGGTTCTGTCAATGATACAGCATACAGTATTCTTATCATTATTATTATACAGGATGTATACAGCGCCAATAGTTTTTGCAGCACTACAGAGCATATGGGGAGACAGTACCTGTACAATACAATACCATACAAAGGGATTAGAAGGACCCTGCTCATGAGAGCTTACAATCTACAAAAAGGGGCAAGTGATACACAGAGATCCCAACCTGAAAACATTAATTTCATGGAGGTGCCCTTCTCATTTCAGGGAGGTGCCCTCTCCCCCCACCATCCGCAAGGATATCTGCTGTTTTTTGTTTGTTTTCTGACAGCTCCTGCCATCAGAATAAAGAAAAAAACAGACTGCATTGGAATGAATAGCTAGGCTGTTATTGGCTATTTCAATTTCCAAAAGCCAATAGCAGGCTGGCTACTGCACTCGTCCACTGCTGCTGTCAATCAGCAGAGGAGGATCTGAAGTTCTCCTTCAGGTCCTCGTCTGCTTATTGACAGCAGGAGTGGGTGGGTACAATAGCCAGCCTGCTATTGGCTATTGCAAATTGAAATAGCCAATAGCAACCTAGCAATCCATTCCCATGCAGTCTGTTTGTATTTTATTTTATATACTCTAACGGCAGTCGGCGG